CGAGGCAATCTCTAGCTTTCTTAAGACCCTACGTGAGAATCTTTCACGTCGGAGACGTCCCTGGAGGGAGGTGATGCAGTAGCCCTCGAATTGGGAGGGGCCTATTCTTCTTTCGCATGAAGCGATAGCACGGGGGCTTTCTTAGGCGGAGTGACCCTGTCTGGCGCTTCGTCGGAGGGCGGGTGGCCGCGGATCGGAGCAGGTGGAACCGTGTAGCTTGCATCACGTGGGTGTAGAAAGAGTGGGCCAGATAGAGCCGTTTGGCGGGCTGTGTTTCTTCCATCCTTTTCCCCCTGGAAACTGGCTCTCTGGCTGGGACCTTCTTCTAGTGAGCACCCACACGGCAGAGAAAGAGAGAGAGAGAGAGAGATTAGGAGAGTGTGCGTTCGAAATCGATAGAGGGGGAGGTGTTTGTTAAAGAGAGCTTCTGAGAAGGTGGTTTTTTTTATGTGCTACCGGATGAGTTTTCCCTTGCAAGTATCCTCAGACAAGAGACGGTGAGTTCTTTGGAGAGGTCCACTTCTACATTTCCTGACAATTACCTCGGGAGAAGAAACTCTACTTCAACCTTCTTCCATCGAATGGCATGCCTTCTTTCGCTACGAGTATGATCGGAATCTGACGCTGGTGTGGGGCACAGCGTGCCGTATAAGCTCTCTTCCGCACCAGAAATTCAGGGATCAAGTGAATGCAGAGATACCCGTATAGCTATAATTGGATGGAAGAGAAATCTTTAGCAGTTTTCGAGTACGTCTTCGGTAGAAGTCATTGCTTCATCCCATTGAAGTCATTTTTTTGCAGGCACAAAGTATAAAGTAAGATACCTCCCTAGACTATACTCATAATTATAAGTAATGAGTGCCAATGCACTTTCAGCAGGATGGCATGGAAGTTCTGCCGTTGAATGCGTGAGATGGGTACCGTACGCTCCTTCGCATAACTCCATGTACTCAGTTGTATGGGTTCCAATCAGTGCACGGTCTTCATCATCTACACATTGATAATAATTCATCACCGCCGACATATTTTGTGTCAATGCGTTTTGAGATGAGGATCCATTACGTTTGAACGATTATCCTCCGTCGTGGATATATATAAATATATATATATATATATATATATATATTGCAGAATATATGCCGCTCAAAAGCACTACACTCAATGCAAATATCTTGAAAATATTGAAAAATATCGGGATTTATGGAATTTGACAAGTTTTTACTACTTGCATATTTTCAATTTTTGATAATGCAAAAAAAAATGACGTTTCACTTTGCCTCACTCTTCGTGTGCGTTTGCCTTTCGCGTAGAGGATGATAGTTCCCGTCAATGGTACATGGAAAAATAGACAAAATTTTCCAAAATGACAAAATTTAACATTACACTCTCAATTAATACAAACGTATAAATATACCTCGATGGAATCATTCAACAGCCAGGTGGACCATTTTAATCCGAATCTATGTTCAGAATATTAGTACGTTACCCATCTAGTGATCTTTCCAACTAATGTCGTCACTGTTAACTAATTTCAATAATTAAAGACGTAAATGTGTGATATTAATGCCCTTACTGGCGCTAGTATGCACATCCCCTTTAGTAGGCCCAGTAATAGACGAGTACCGTGAAAGAGGTGTCCACATGACTATGCTAGCACCATATTCCCATAGGATCACTGTTGGCATTCTCGCAAGAGCTCTAAGAAACAAAATGATGTAAATAGATTGCTTTTCAAGATTCATTCGAAACTGATATCTAGGCCAACAAATATAGGACGAATGCATGTGTCAAACAACATATCACCTCCATCATGTTTTGGAGTCTCCCTGTGAATTTTTCATCTCTCTCAACCACATTAGTTCAATTGTTGCTATGGAAGCCATCCAGAGCTACGTGAGGATTGCCCCCAATAAGTTCATGTACAAGTTCCTGTCCTGCTATCGTGTGTTTCACAGGCCTGTGATAACTGCTATGTCCTGCGATGTTATGGTCATCTCACGTGAGAATAGATGGAAACTGTCTGTCTCTAGCCTCTAGTGTTCTGTAAGTGCTGTCAATAGAGGTGCATCTTTATAAACATAAAATAACTTAATAACTTGTGTGAAGCCGATTAAACTAAAGTAGTGGACGACAAATGGGCCATTCATCCGTCTCCCACAAGCTCAGCACCTGAAGACGAACATTTTGCAATACTATACTTGAACAGGTATGCAAAAATCCGCATTTCAAAGCATTTTTTTCGTGAGAAACTACGAGGTGTATAATTAATCCTTTTATTATGTTACTATTTTCTGCGTATGCCACATCCGTATGACTTCCTATGTGCATAATATTCGATACAGATTTTTGTTTTTGCGTCGTCCAAAATGCCTAAGAAAATAGTGCCCACAGTTGCAAGAGGGAAACCACCTCAATCCAAAGAAAACCCTCACTCGGTCATTAAGCGCCATATCTAACCCAGCAACATACGCCGACCTACACTTTTCATGGGAGTAATATTCCGGGGATTGCAAATAATGATCCCAAACCACTGATTCGTGTGCTTGAATTTTACATGAACTTGGAAAAATGTACAGTTTTGGCTTTAAGCTGAACATAAGAACTTACTATTTTTAAGAACGTCACCATGGTACACATTTCCGATGTCAAAATCTAGTTTAGATTTTAATGGGGTTGGCGCATTCATTCAATCCAAGTCTCCATGCGCTCTCACTAGCTGCTTCCATAGCTTGTGATGTACCGCCGAACAATAATAGGTGACGTCCCTTCGGTTCATCCAATCTAGAGATTTACGACTGAAGAAAAAATTACAATGGTTGACTACTATGATCGGTTCAATACTTCACATCCAGCATGAGAGAAGGTTGGTGGTCACTATACCGGAAAGTCCAATATTTTTCGGATTATGCTTCCAATAATAATTTTTATGAAGGTTTTTCGATCTCTTTAATTCTTCTTTATGACGTGATCGAAGTCTCTCACCTCCACGGCAACACAGACCGACCACATCATCTAACGCGGTATTTTATCGCAAATTTTGCAGTATGAAATTGTACTGAAAGTGTAGAAAACTTTCACACGCTGAATATGTCTGCACACGCTGCTCAAGAAATTATTTACAATATCCCGCAGTCTCTTTATCAGTTGAGACGAATTCTATGGGCGCATGGATCAAATAAAGTCTTAAGACGTGTGTGTGTGTGTGTGTGTGAGAGAGAGAGAGAGAGAGCATGGAGAATATGCTTGGGTGTGGTGTAGAGGGAAAGACAGTGTGAGAGAAACGCAAGTTTAAAATTCAACTGCATTTTTCGTAATTGTATTGAATAAACAATAAAAGAAAGGTATTAAAGCAGATGAGAGATGTATGGCCAAGAAATCAACATCTATGTCTCTGTCTCTCGCTCTCTCGATCCAGATGAACCTAGACGATCATTCTGGAACGATCTAGAATGTTTTATAGCACAGAGCCCAGTTCAGACCTGGGGCAGGCCCGACCAGCCCCGAACATGCGGCAAGGCCCCCCCATTGGTGAGGAACGTGGAGACCCGGCGAACTCACTCGTCTCCCCCCCCACTCGGACAGGCCTCCACGCAACCCAACGACCGAGTCTCCTCTCGCCGATAACCATGCGAATACAGCAATCCAGCGGATGACGATGACGACGATGACGGTGAAAAAAGATACGACAACCATGCCCATGCAAATTAGCGGGCTACATGAGGTTCTCCATATAAACGGTGACCTCGCCGTCGCCTTCAGAAGGAAGGACCCAGGGAGGCACCTCGTGTTATCTGGTCGTCCCAAATCCGTCCAGCTCGTCTGGAGCTGATGTGTAGGGCTCATCCGGCCGTCCATGTACTCTCCGACGCCAGCACTTACGCGGAAACCCGTTGTCGTAGAGCCCTGTGGTCAAGTTTCGGACAGCTACTTCGCGCCGCCGGCGGTTGGCTCTTTGTTGACCTCTCTCTTTCTCTCTCTCTCTCTCTATCTCTCTCTCTCTGTCGATATGGACAGAAGATATCTTCGATCTCCTTGACCCACCTGATTACGATCGAGCAGGAGATATGCATGGATTTTGAATGCCGGAAGAAGCTGCCCGGATGAACTCCCTGTAAACGCCGTCCATCGCTTCAGCTTTCGGGCACGTGCGAAGAAGGTCAGAAGAGATCGTCGATCGCTTTGACCCACCTGATTGCGATTGAGCAGGAAATATGAATGTGATTATAATACACATGCGAAGAAGATGCCCGAAGGAACTCCCAGTAAACGGCGTCCATCGCTTCAGCTTTCGGGCGCGTGCGAAGAAGGACAGAAGAGATCGTCGATCGCTTTGACCCACCTGATTGCGATTGGGCCGGAGATATGAATGTGATTATAACGCACGGACGAAGAAGCTGCCCGGCGGAGCTCCCAGTAAACGGCATCCATCGCTTCAGCTTTCGGGCACGTGCGAAGAAGTTTTTTAGACCTTCCTTTGATTGGCGTCGCTCGAAGAGCCCTTGATTTTCGCTCGAGATCTCCGTCAAATGGCAAAGGCCAGCGAATCGACGGACGAGCCATCATAATCCACCCAGATATCATAAATCACGGAGAGACCGGCGGCGGGCGGAGAACCCAAGCGGGGTTGCCAACTTCGCGGGGAGAGATTGGCCAATGGGGGCCCTTCAGCTGTCGCCGGCAGGAGCGGCGACCCCTCCACTGCGCGCGCCATATCCGGACTTCCGTTTCCGGTAATAATAATTTTTCATGACGGAGGAACAAACCGGGTCATAATAGCCCACCCCCTGCCAGCCCACACGCGGCAAGGCCTATAAAACCCCATGCGGGGGCGACGAGAGACCGCCAGCGAGCCTCGCGGAGAACACGCCGCTCGTCTTTAAAGCGTCCCAACTCTCCCCTTTCTCGCCAGCTTTAGCCCTTCTCCTTCTCCTTAGTCTCTCTCGTCCCTCACCTGTTGCCCCCGAAGGAGAGAGGAGGAGGAGGAGGAAGAACTAGACGAGATGTGCGGAGGTGGGGTGGAGAGGAGAACCCACCGCTGGGCCATCGCCGTACACGGCGGCGCTGGGGTCGACCCTAATCTCCCCCCCGAGAAACAGGAGCAGGCGAAGCAGCTCCTTGCGCGGTGCCTTCACCTCGGAGTTGCCGCCCTACGCTCCGACCTCGCCGCCGTTGACGTTGTCGAGCTCGTCGTAAGTACCAACTCCCCTCTCTCACCGCTGCTGCAACTGGTTCCGGTGGGCATCAATGTTAGGGTTCCGATGAAGATGGATTGATTGATTGATCTGCAGGTGAAAGAGCTGGAGACGGATCCGTTCTTCAACTCCGGGCGTGGGTCGGCGCTGACAAGGAAGGGGACGGTGGAGATGGAGGCGAGCATAATGGACGGCGTCCGGCGGCGCTGCGGTGCTGTCTCCGGCGTCACGACGGTGAAGAACCCCATCTCCCTCGCCAGGCTCGTCATGGACCGGTCCCCTCACTCCTACCTCGCCTTTCACGGCGCCGAAGAGTTTGCCCGTCAACAGGTTCGCCTACAACTCATCATGCAAAACCGTCGATCCAAGGGCTATGAAACGGACACCTTATGCCCGCATGGGACATGCAATAATAATACATAGGAAAGCATAATATCTATAGATTTTAGATTTTAATTAAGTTAAAGAATGGTAATAATAAATGGGAATGCATCCATCAAGGTGAAGGTAGTCCCAACGAAGATCTGACTTAGATGCGATGATGTTGATTGATCAGGGCGTGGAGACAGTGGACAACGGCTACTTTATCACCGAGGATAATGTGGGGATGCTAAAGCAGGCCAAGGAAGCCGACTCAATCCTGGTATCTTTTCACCGTCTAAGTTATCAGATCTTTCTTCTCTTCTAACGTCATCTTCGTCGTCCTCTGACGAACGAGAACAAATCAGTTTGATTACAGGGTTCCACTGCCGGCAGCGTGCAGCGCCGCCGCCGCCGCGGCGGCCGGCTTGGACGGCGGCGGCGTGAAGATGAACGGCATGCCGCTGAGCGTGTACGCGCCGGAGACGGTGGGTTGTGTGGTGGTGGATGGCCTGGGGCGGTGCGCCGCCGCCACCTCCACCGGAGGGTTGATGAACAAGATGGAGGGGAGGATCGGCGACTCGCCGCTGATCGGGGCGGGAACATACGCTTGCGAGGTCTGCGCGGTGTCATGCACCGGCGAAGGGGAGGCGATCATACGGAGCACGCTGGCGCGGGAGGTGGCAGCGCTGATGGAGTACAAGGGGATGTCGCTGCGCGAAGCCGTGGACTACGCCGTTGAGGAGAGGCTTGACGAGGGGAAGGCTGGCCTCATCGCCGTCTCCAGCAGCGGCGATGTTGCCTACGGCTTCAATTGCGTCGGCATGTTTAGGGCGTATGCTACCGAAGACGGGTTCTACCATGTGGGCATCTGGGACTGATCCGAATTCCTGTTCTATATTCTCCCAAGGGAGATAACCGTACCCACCGTTCCAGTCAGGGAGAACTCTCTCTATCTCTAGTGCGTCATGATGTACTTATGGTGTTCGCATATTGAAAACGGCATGATAGGAAAGGGGTGAATTTAGTACAAATTATGAATAGTTTCATTTCTAGTATGTTTATTAATTTCACTTCTCATTGTGAAAATCACCTTATATGATAATTTGTAACGGAGTAGACTTTTACTCAAAGTTGGCCTCTGGACCATGCAACTAGGTCCATATTTTATGGGAAATGAAGATACTTAGAAACCGTGATAAATTAATCCCAAGCATATCCTCTAGAAGTTCTAATCAAGATTGACAACATCCGATAGGTTTTAGATACAGACTCCAAACTCCATCTCAATAGCCCAGACAAGTTAATCTACAACAAAAACATGTGGTCAGTCGTTCTTCTAAATTTTGATGATTGATATATATGATTTTTTATTTGTCTATTTCAGGGAAATTATTACACATTTAATTTTTATTATTTCTTTCGTTCCACTAAAGTAGGATGAGGGGTGCTTCTATATCCCTTATAGTTGAATAAGGCATAGAGTACGTAGAAATGTGTTAAGGTAATGTATATTCTCTAAAGTCAAGTGAGTGCCTTGCCGTTGGCTGATGTGTAATAGTTATAACTCAAAAGGTTTTTCTGACAAAATGATGTGTTTTTTATATTAAAAAATAAAAATTAATCAGTATATTTCTATTTTTCCGCATATTCAATTATTTATCGGCTATCCTTGAATTACTTTAATTGCCTTTTTCAGATAAGAGTATCATTGAATAACATATTGACATAGTGGAAGTTGAGGAAGTTTATTCAAATCTTGACTCTATGAGAAATGAATTGAGATGATCATTCAATCCGTATGATCTTAATAGGAGGGTGCTCTAGATTCATATAGGATTCCTTGAATATACAAGTAGCAGAGTAGATGAAAAAATATTTTTGGTCAAAGAAACAATTTCATCTACATTATGTGACTCTTAAAATATCCAAAATATCTCTAGATCTCAAAAAAATAAGATTTCCTTATATTTCCTAACCATAAGGAAATAATTACTTAAGCTACCAAAAAAATGTGATTTAGGCTTTATGGGATGAACCTTTTGGCCCTTTCACATTATTATGCTGCATCACACATATTTCATTGGGTCATTGTAGTCAAAATATGGAAATAAGAATAACGTTTTTGGCTTCTACAGTCTCTAGAACCTCAAAAATCTTCTTTTACAGACAAACATTGTGGGAAAATCCACATTGTTTTGAGTTCAGTCAAGAAGTCAGATGAAATTTGAATGATGGGTGTAGCCAACTATTACCATTATTGTAGCAATTCTTGGCTACGCATTGTCAGTTTTTGATAGCTTCCTAGTTTTAAATTTGAAAAAATACACACGAGGGTAAAACAAAAAGTTTCTTCTATCAAACTTATGTTGATGTCATGTAAAAATATCGATATAACTTTTCTAATGCTTACTAATTTCGAAATAGTTCATAAAAACATTGACACATCAAGATATCAACATTAAAGTTTAGACACACCTATGTCTTTTCCTATTTTGAATTACGAGTTGACTTACTAGGTAAAATGAGTATATTCTCATAATAACCAAGACATTGTGAAATTATGTCTAGTATTCAGGATTTGTTACTTAGATAATTTATATTTCGTTTCCTTGTAGCGATTCAACTCACTTGGTAAAAGGTGTCTTGATGCTCATATTAACATACTTGGTAAAAGGTATCAACACTCATTATAATCAAGACACAACACATGCATAAAACATAAATTTTAAGAAATAAACATTTATGTGGGATCTAAGTTGCGGAAATATTTTCTTCTACGTGTTTGCAAAGTATGTTAAGTATTTGTGGTTTGAAAATATTCTATGTTTTGTTTCCCTATAAGAATTAAGTCAACTTAACACATAACTCATTAAAAATATCATCTTTTAAAATGAGTGGCTACTTCAGCATTCAAGTGAAATTTCACACTCAAGAAACTAAAATTTCGTAACATTCTCATATACTGAAAGTTGTTTACAACAAAGGAAGACTGCATACCTTGAAGATCACACATCTATCCTCAAGCAAGCTATTGACCAAAATTCTAAAAACTATTCGTTCAGTTATTTGTTGTCAATACTTTTGTGATTCACAAAATTGGATCAGCATAACCCCCATCAATTTAGAAGAGACTAGCTAAATGCTAATCTGATTTTTCTGAGTAGAGCTATTAATCTAAATGTATTTTGAGGAACTCACGACGCAGTTAGAGCTGTCAACTCTAGTGGAGATAAACTAAGGTCTTGATGTTTAGTAATTGCACTTATAGGTCATATCATAATCGTAAGGAGGTGATCTTTAGAGAGTAGACTAAAACCTTTGATTCTCACTTTTACCACTTTAAGTCAACACATTAACCTAATTGCCTAGCATTGGCTAAAAAGGGCTTATCAAACCTTATGTTGTTTGCTCTCTTGGCCTCCTAAAACCTAAAAGTATCACTTAAATATAATATCCACATGGCTATAATATATCTTTCTTTACATTATCATCTTTTATCCATTTAATTATTAATAATGAAGTTCAAAGGGCTCAATCTGCCGAACTCTTTTCTTATAGAAATGAGAGAGGTTAAATCATTTACATTTTAGAAGTTTCTTTTTCTACTAAACAACAAAGGTTGCTCTCTTGAATTCAAAATTATTGTTATATTCTTGAAATTGTATAATTTGTTTAGTGTTTTATATATAAATACAGTATGCCAACCACTTCATGGGCTGATATGGAGAGTGAATCAACTGTATGCAAAACTATACTGCCGTGCCTGAAGAAGATGTCATATAAGTTCTATGCCGAGACTATCCCAAGGTGAAGGTGACAAAGAAATGGCTTGATCTTCTTTGGTGCATTTAGTTGAGTCCATCTGGAACATTTCTTCCTCTTTTGAGTTATTATGGGCCCAACAGCCTTGGGCTAGCTCACAGCTTATTTGTAGAAAAACGTTTTAATCCATGTCAACAAGAAACTAAGCCCTCGAAAGTAGACACTCTTTGTAGACAATAGAGCGCCATAACTATGATGGATGAGTACATCCGAAGCTAGAGCATTTCTCAGTGCCAGAAAGAGATGATTTCTATCTATGCATGAGAGAGACTAAGATTTATTATGTTATTTTTGGGGGGAAAAAAAAGAAGATGGGGAGCGAAGAGAACGAAACAATGAACTCCTGTCGAAAAAAGAGGACATGAGAAGAGATGGGGGAGAAGAAACCATGTTGAAATGCGAGAAGAAGATGAATAGAGGAAGGAATGATCGAACATAGCAAGTTCTTACTTTCATTTAATAATTTATTGGACGATCTTCAGTAACCCAAATTTCCCATTCATTCGTGTCTCTATGACTTTGTCCACATGGTTGCTAGTAATTTTATGTTACTTTGGTGGTACATCTGTTATTAGTGCTGTTTACGAAGTTACATCTCTCTAGACCCGACTTGGCATCCTTAGATTTCAGTGCATAAGTGCTGTTATGTCCAAAGCGTTCCTTACAAGACCAATCAGGTGTAAGGTTTCAATGCATAGATGCTCTATCAATAGCTTCCGTGTTCAATGCTGATGTTCGTACCCACTATGAAGTATTTAGCAAAATTGCCTACCAAATATTATTATGTCCTTGGACATACGGGGAGAGTTAAACTTGTTGTGAAGGCGACTACATTTGTCGATTATGTCGCTACAAATGATAGTTCCCCTGATTACTTTCCTTCCTGTATCATCCCATTCGCTTCAGCTGCCTCGATTCTAAAGGTTCATAGAGTCCATACGACTTCATCTCCCACTATTTTCCCACCCATGTCTTAAAATTCTTGTATGGTAGTAAGTTGCTGGTGGTAATATGCGTTCCTCTTGATGAGACCAATGAGCCTTTGTTCTCTTATCATCGTCCGGCGCACTAAAGAACTAGCACTTCACATTACGTAGACTTGTTTGTGTTAGTAGTTTGAGCCGAAGGATCCTGGCATTCTTGAAATTGTCTCCCACTGAAAGTAGGTGCGCCTTAAGTCTACTTTATCATCAGGATACGTCTACTGGTTCCAAAGCTCTCTTTATTCTTCCCAGATGTGACGCGAAGCTTACTCCTTGGATGATACTCCATTCAATGATCCAATACTTCATTAGTGGCGCATTGGTTACGTTGCCGGTAAATTTATAGAGATAGCTCCCTCTACTTGGAGGCTCCGGTGCTGATTAGTGAGGTCGCAGACAAGATCGATGCCCCACTTTAGTTGATCATTACAGTTAACTGAGTGAAGTATCATGCTTTCTCTGATTCTAGCGTTGAATTTTTTAGGTTACGTTGTCTTCAAAACAGCATGGGCATTCACGCCCTTATACTCAGCCAATGCAAGCGTTATCGAAATCATGCTCAAGAAGATGCTTTTATGGAGATGCTGAGCGTTCAGAGATTGATCCTCATTTGGGCGTCAAGGAAGTAATTCGTGAAGGATTAATCTGGCATATGTTGGTTACCGTGAACATTTCAGGGATCTCTTCACAAAAATCCATTTTTATGCAGCTTAAGAATCCAGAGGCAATTGGGTTGGCTGGGGTCTTCCCCAGGGCTTCAAAGGTCTCGGTCATGAAGGCCAGAGGAAGAGCCTGTCACTCCTGCGGCAGCATCGACTGATTGGAACGCAGATTCTCGCCTTGATTCGGGGGAGAAGCAGGGAGGAGGTGCCCATTAATGGGGGGGCTTTCCCGAGGGAAGGGAGCCGGTCATCAGCTTGCGGTCGTATATTAAATGATCCCGCCTCCGCTACACGGCGGCTGGGGAACTTGGATCGCCGGGGAAGATGATCTTCCTGAAGATTAACCGAGAGAAGAAGCATCTCTAAGCGTCCCTCCGGCGGCCGCAGTGCTTGAAGCTGGGGGCTTTCTGCCTGCCTTCGTCCAGATTCCCCGGAGAGAATGCAAACCACAGTAAATGATCGTATCGCCGCCAGGTTTCAGCGTAGCTCAGAGCGGCTGCAGCGCCGGCGGCAAGATCACACGAGGCTTGTGAAGCCGATCAGGAGACCCCATCCGAACAGTACCCAGTAACGTAGAGAGAGAGAAATTTAGAACGAGTGTGTGTGTGTGTGAGAGAGGGAGAGAGGACGGATTGGTGAGCAGCACAAGAAATAAATTAGTCTCGTCCTGCAGATGCTGACAAGCATCTCCTGGGCTTCATTTATAGAGCCGGCCGGCTCGCCTGGCAGTGGTCCTTGGCAAGTTAAGGGGGGCTCCTCCGCCGGATCTCTCGTGACCGCAGGAGGGTTACTCCAGTGGGGCAGGGTTGGTGGGGGGACTTCATGGCCATCTGCTCCAGGCTTCGCCCGCCTCTCTCTTCCTCCTTCGATCCTTTTCGGAGATGGGCCATCGGCAGATGATGGGTTTCGGCTACTGAGAACTTTCCATGGCTCGACAAGGACTGCCAGGTTTGAGCTTTCAGTCCCTCCTCTCCATGATTAGCTGCGACGGAGGATGACCTTCCTTCTGCACTAGCGATGGGCCTCACTGGGCGGTCGACGACGGTGAGGGGAAGAAGATCAGTCTCGCTTGCCCTTCCTCCATCGGCAAGTTTTCGATGAGCTGAAGATCATAGGTCAAGAACGATTGAGACGAGATGTCCGAGGAAGAACGATTAGGGTAACAGGGACTGAGGAGGGGGGGTCGATCTGAGGAGTTTAATCCGATCTTTCTCTAAGATGTAACGTGGGCCCGCCAAAGATTTATTTTTTTTCCAATAAATTTACGCTTATGATTGCTATATCTTCGGTTCCAATTCGGCTCGCATTAATGCCTTCGTAAAATATTAGTTTTTACATAAAAGTTCTTCCTGCCGCGATGGATAAAGGAGGAGAGCGGTCGGGGCAAATTAAAAACTAGAAGGGGGGCACTCTCTCTCTCTCTCTTTCTCATCCCAGGCGCGCGAGCTCAATTAGAGGTAGCCCACTGTTCTGAGCTGGAGCTGGTAATGGGGGGAAAGAGAGAGAGAGAGGTGGGCTCTGCGGAGGCGGCAGGCGCATGGGCAAGTGGAAGAGCGGGGGGGGGTTGGAGAAAGGGGCGGGATTACTTCATAACTTGCGCGCCTGCCTCTGTCCCTTCTGCTGTCCCTGCCAGCAGCCATGGCGGAAGAAGAGGGTAACGTATGAGGGGCTCCGAAGGAAGGAGCGTACCATGGTCCTCATCTGGCGCCGTGATATCATGGGCCATACCGAGCTAGAGCGAGAAGAGGAAGAGAGAGAGAGAGAGAGGGGGGGACGGGAGGGACAGGACTCTTGTCTTCAGCGGCGGGACGGAGTGAGGACCAGGTCAAAAAAGAGCGACTTGGCATCATTTTATTCGGTCATAATCGCGCGGCTGTTTCTTGTGGAAGGCTCGGGGAAAGAAGTGCCCTTTTTTCCAGTTGAGATCCATGGCGTAGAGAGAGAGAAGGCTCGAAAGAGAGAGAGAGAGAAGAGAAAGCTAGAGAGAGGGGGGGGGAGGAGGATTTTCCCTCCAATTTCAAACATAGGAAGCCCGGTTGAACTTTTGTGGAGGGCGTTGTCCTGATGCCCCTTGTCCTCCTACTTTTCAGGGAGAACGACATCTTCGGTCCCCTTCCGGGAATCCACCAACCCCGAGCTGGCGTTTGACCAAGTCCCCCCTTCGCCCGCCACGTGGACCCTTCTCCCTCCTTCCACCTCTGCGGTGACCCAAAGGATTAGAAATAATCCCCTCCTCCGCATCTCTCTCTCTCACTGGTACGATCCAAATGGGCGGTCAACGCTTTCCGGAGGACTTTAATCACCTCCGGCCGTTTCCCCATGGGCGCCTTTGACCGGCAAGAACAGCCCCAGAGAGGAAGAAGGCTCTACGGGGAGGAGCTTAAACCTCCAAAATGCGCCGTCCTTCTGATCCGACATCTTCCAGGGCGACGAATACGAAGAATTACGAAGGAGAAAGTCAGGATCTTGGAAAGAGTTACAGCAGTAGCGGTACCAGCTTCCTCCCCTCCATCTCCTCCGGCGAGATCTCTCCGTGAGGCGGCGCCGATGGCGGAGAGGGGAGATCGCCGGCGACGGTTATCTCCAGGGGGAACTCAAACGAAGACCCCATCGAGAAGGGGCCGGCGGCGGCTCTGCTCATCTTCTCCGGCGACGAGAGAGTGCAGCCTCCTCTTGAACGGCGCCTCCGCCGGCGGCATTGTTGGGGACGACGATACCGAGCCCGGCGCCGACGGCGCCTGCGAGCTGTCGCAGCTAAAGGTCACCTCCGCCACCCCGCGCGGGCTCCCCGGCGACGAGCGCCGCCGCTTGCCGTTCCAGTAGCCGGCGGCGCCACCGATGAACTCCGAGCAGGCCTCGAATCGATCCTGGAAAATCAGAAAAAACCAACCTAAGAACGAGAAATCTCGCTTCAATCATGCTTAAAACTCATTGCAACAATCATCGGCTTCGATTGTACCTTGGTGACGCCGGCGAGATCCATGAGGCGGCTCTGCAAGTTTACAGCGCAGAGAGGGTGATCAAGGAGCCGGCCGAGTGCGTGGATCATCGTCGCCGCCGCCACCTCTGACGGGAGGAACTGGAGCCATCTGGGATCTGGGCCGCCGCAACGGATGGAAAAATCGGGATGAGGAACCAGTGAAGAACAGCGACAAGTGGGGGAATGGTGGCAGGAGGAGGAAGAACTCACCGGCGGCGAGGTAGAGGAGGATGGAGTGGCAGCTGGCCTGGAACTTCCAGTGCAGGTGGGCGTAGCGGCGCTTCCAGGAGGAGGACGGCGACGCCGCCTTGTCCCCGGCGGCTAGCCGGCGGAGGAAGTGATCGATGAAGGAGAGCGGCGTTGGGGAGCCGAGCCGCCATCCCAGCGTGGACAGCACCAGCAGCTCCATCCTCTGCACCGTCCTCGCCTCGAAGATGAACCTCGCATCCTCCACCTTCACCGGAAGCAGATCAGCCATAGGAAACAGACACAGATCCATTGATGGGCGAGAAGAAGAAGAAGATGACGGAGGAGGAGGAGATGGAAGGGTACCTGAAGGTCGAGGAGGAGGGGGACGCGGATCTCCTCCATCTTGGCGGCGAGGGAAAGGCAGGAGACAGCAGAGAGCTGCGCCATCCAGGGCTGCTGCTGCTGGTGGGTGGCGGCGCCACCGCCGGAGCGGGTGGCAAAGAGGAAGCGGTCGAGGTAGTCAACGGCGAGGAGGGCCGTCTGGGTGGTGAAGCCATGGCGGCCGGAGGCCCTCAGGAGCCACCGCACGGCGTCGTCCCTCGTGGAGAAGAGTGAAGGGTCGGTGGAGCCACCGGTTGCCGCCTGCTTAGAGAGCAGCGCCGCCAGCTCCGCCCTCTCCTCCTCTCCTCCGTCCCCGTCCCATCCCCACTCCCATAGCAGATCCCCTGCATCCTCTGCAACTATTGCCGGAGACGGGTAGCCCTCATGGCGGCGGTTCTGCTCCTCCTCCTCCTCCCGAAAGGGAAAGATATCTTCCTCATGGCAGCTGAGGGGATCGGCGGAGAAGGACGGAGCTTGGCGGAGCTGATAGAAAGAGGACATCTTTGATCAACCTCCTCTGCAAGAGAGTGCGGGGGCTCTCATGGTCCAGCAGAGCTCGGAGCAGAAGGGCGGAGAGAGGCGGCGCCGCTCATCTTCCTCGCCTCTCTGCGACTGGCAAAGAAAGCGGAGGAAGAAGGGATGGCGAGTGAGATACTGTGAAAAACCGAGGTATAGCGAGAGAAAGAGAGAGAGAGAAAGAGAGAAAGAAATGTAGAGCGAGAGAGGGGGGGGTGAGGAAAGCAGGTGCAGCGACAGTGGCTGCAAGCAGCAGCGCAGCGGAGGCCAATGGAGGGGATTTTATTTGTTTTGGAAGCGTCCGCCTGCCTGCCTCCTCACGCCTTCCTTCCCATTGGTCACCGCACCAGTCTTCGACCACCCTCTCTCTCTCTCTCTCTCTCTCTCTCTCTCTCTCTCTGTATGAGATTTCTGTGAATCATCGTCGCATCACATATCACCACCCACTGTACGGATATTTACTCCCCATTGATCTTGACCGTTTTTTCTGTGGACTTAATGGGTCCACCAGCCCAGCGAATATAGGACCGGACCGGACCGGACCGGACCCTGGGGCTGGGCCCCCGTCTTCCCAGTGGTCCAGTCCTGGGCCGGGGCCCGGGGCTTGTTTGGGTCCCACCCCCTTGACCTGCATTCTTGACCAGTCCTACACGGTCTAATCAGGTTCAAGCCTCACGATCACCTGAGTTGACGAACTTGTCAACTATAAAACCCACAAGGCCATTGGAAATCAACCCTCATCTTTGACGAGGAGCACGGTCAGCTGCACCGAACCGGTCTGACTCGGGTGCCTGGCGTCCGATCTAACCCGGCGATCCGAGCCGGGCCGACCACGATTTCCTCCTCTAATTTGTGAGCTTGTGTGGGACCCGCTTGATGGGGACCTCCTTGCCGGCGGGAGGCCAACAGGGCGGGAAAAGGGGAAGCACGTGACGACGGGGCTAAACCACGTGCTAAAGGCGAGAGAGAACGCGTGATGACTCGCTCTCAGCGATAAGCCCCGATTCCTCGAGTCGACTGAGTTCCGGAATGATAGTAAAGACAATAATTTGGCTTCTTTTAGCGAAGAAGATAAGCTCGAGTTGGGCGTCCGACTCGCAGATGACTCGCCCTATCCACCGGGGGAACCCCGAGATGACTCGGTTGAACTCGCGTTCGACAGGGACTTCCAAGTGTGTAGGACTGAAGGGGGAGGCATCTAAGCAACTTGAAGCCTTCATCTTCCTCAAGAGAACCCACCTGAAAAATTCACCATTTTTTTCCAAAATTAAAAAATTAAATTTTACTTAGGCTAAGTCTCATATGATTTCCGAAGAAATTACCCGAAATGGTATGTACCCAGTTCGATCCGCCACTCTTTATTAACCCGCCTTGCATATTATTATTTCAACTATATATACAAATACGCTTATTTATTTTTGGGTTAAAATATTTTACACAGTCGATTAAAAATCTATCAAGATCCCAGTTTATTTATTTAGGGAATCAACAATTAAAAATAGTTTTTTTAATAAAAGACTATTACGGGATCTTACCTAATTCTGGCGAAGTTTAGATTAGGTTTTCGCACAAATCTCCCCGGGATTATTTAATCTTCAGGTCTAATTTTTTTGAAAAAAATAAATAATCACACCTACGGGACGAAACCGGTAGGAAGACGAGGGGATGGAGATGGGCAAGATCTCTCGCCAAACGAGAGAGACAACCTGTACAGCCGCCTAAATGTTTCGATAGAGATAACGTTCACGTGAGAGCTCGCCCAACTAAAACACAGAGACTTGAATGCTTGTTTCGTTGCGTGGACGAGACCCACATCTCAGATTCTCTCTCTCCTTTGTCCCGCTTTCCCTCTCTATGCCTCTGTATCTCTCTTTCTCTCTCTACGTATATGTTTCTCCCTCTAGCTACTCAGTAATCTCCTTCCCTCTCTATTTTGCTGCCTATTCACCTGTTTCACGTCTATCTGTGAGACCGTCTCTCTCTCTCTCTCATCTATCTATCTACCCATCTGTCACTCTGTGTCTGGCTATCTATCTACTATTTATCAACCCATCTCTCGTTCTCTCCATCTCTCTCTCTCTCTCTCTTCTACGTAACTCTCTGCTTGACTTTATTCTTTATTATGGGAGTCTTGTCTCCGCATTAGCGCCTACAAGTCCATGGTTAATGAGCTTGGCGCATGCATATAAAGGAGGCATGGCCACGTGGGAAGTCTAGTGTTCCTCAACAGAAGATTGCCTGGGCGACGGGGGAAGCCGATGCATCCAGTCCTCGGTGCAGATCACGAAGCGGGAGGTCCGGGCTCTTCCGTATTCAAGTCAACGCCTCCCATCGGGGAACCAATTATCTTCCAGTTGTGCTTCCCTACCTGATCCAGATCAGCCTGGTCGTTCATGTGGAAGTGCAGCCTCACTAGTTATAGAGGAAGCCTGTGAACACGGTGCTACAAGAACACGATTTGATCGGGTGACACCCATTTTCAGAGAGCTTAGATTCTTTGGAGATGAAGAATAACCAGATGGGGAAATCCGAATAGCGGAGCAGCTCTTCCTTCAGGTCCGGGAGACCTCAAGAAACGATCAGAATAACCAGCGACTTCGTTCTTCGGCTGATAACGGGGAGATCTCCATTAAGAATCGGGCTTTGGGGAACTTCTCACTCAGTTTGGGAAAAAAAATTCAGAATAATGATAAAAATATTGAATGGGGTTCGGACTAGTGCAACGCTCTTCCAGTTTCAAAGAGCTGAAGAAACGATGAGAACTGCAAGAGCGGGTTGTCGAGTTAAGATGGCGATGCCAACTTCGCCGGCGTCGTTGACGACGGGGAGTTTTCCGACGTTGGGTTCCTGGGCAGAGGCGTCTATTCCTGGATAAGGCCGCGTCCATTAGTTAAATCGAATTCATGTTAACTCCAATGACAACACGCGGGCACCCTGTGACCGCCACTTTCTTCAATTCAAGACACTCATCGTAGAGACCGTTCTCTTCCGCAGAGAGAAAGAGAGAGAGAGAGAGAGAGAAAGGGAGTATTTTCTGCTGAGGCAGCAGGCGGGTCTTGACCTGACAGCGACCACACGTTGGGGGAGGAGCGCATTTACGGCGGCGGTAGCCCTCCAATCACGGAGGAGATCTTCTTGAGGGATAGTCTTCTTGCCCGCTACAATCGTGTCTCCAGTGGCTGAGAGAGATAAAAGAGGAAGACCGGAAGCCGAGGAGGAGGCCCCCGTCGGCAGTTCTTCCCCGGCCATACCCAACAAAAGGAGAAAGCCTTCATTGCCTTATTACAAAACGGGGCGACATGATCACTGAAGCCGGCCGCCACAGGATATCTCCTTCTCTCTCTTTCTCTCTCTATGCCATGCTTCCTCTTTCTTGTCACTTCGGTAACCAAAAGCGAGGAGCCGCAGGAGAGGACTAAAGGCGCATGCAGGCTTCCCTTACCCTCCTCCCCCATCCTCCTCTTTTTATGCAGCCCTTAAAAGTAGTAACAAGACATCACCCTCGCTCTCTCTCTCTCTCTCTCTCTCGCTCTCGCTATGGATGAACAGAAGGGGAGGAATGACTAAGGAGGGGGATGGCATATGCTCGAGGAGTAACATAAAGCTGAGGGTTCCGCATTATCTTTTGTTGCAGATCACAGGTTTTCCTTGGGTTTGAACTCGTCGGCCCACTCCTTTCTGGCTTCTACGCTCGGGGAGGGATAAGCGTGTGTCGCGGACGATGAGAGAAACCAAAACATATCTTTATCTCTAAAGAGAGAGAGAGAGAGAGAGAGAGAGAGAGAGATGTCCGGCTAGCCCGAAATCCGATGGGAAAAGAAAGAGGGGGAGGGGAGGGGACGCTGAAGAAAGTGAAAGGAGGTATTGAATAGCGGCGGTGCAGTCCAGCCAGCAGTAGACAATCGGAGCACACACACCCTCGCTTTTTCTGCGAGCTCACGCCTCAAATTGAGACTTCTGCATTGGCCTGGTCAAACACCTCTTCTTCCCCCGTTCTCCCGGGTATGAATTCCCCCGTGGTTAGATAGATTATAAAACAGGAGAGAGAGAGAGAGTGAGAGAGGGAACTCCTTATTCGCCTATGGTGGAGGCTTTGAAGTGCTCACGTGACAAGATGGACAATGGACAGGATATTTATAGAGATATATATATATATATATATCCAGGGAGAGAGAGAGAGAGAGAGAGTCACGGTTGGGTCACACCGGTCTTATAGCTTTTTAATGCAGAGGCCACTACTCACAGCATCTGCGGGTCAGTGGGTGGAACTAGATGCTCCCTAGAGTACACCTCTTACTTGGGACGTCAACCACGTTGAAGATACGCTGAAATCTTAAGCTTCTACTTACAAGCCTAGACCCCTTGAACTCTTTTCATTATATTATAATGCAAAAGTATTCTCATTTGATTATAAAATGCTGACCCCATCAAATAACATCTTGAATTGGTGTTGAGTTTGGTGGTCTTCTAACTTTAAGAGGAAATCAGAGTCAACGCTTACTCTTGGATTTGGCGCCTTCTCTTCTACATGTGATTGGGTCAAAAAGTTAGCTCCTACGTGAAGGGGTTCTATAGAATAGAATCTCATTTCCTTAATCTAAAATTAAATTCGCAGTGATCAAGAGCCCAATAAATTTTCCCTTTGAGATTGATTTCCAATGTGATGGCCCAATAGCCTCATATAAATGCTATTAAGTTCATGATCTAATATTTATCCATTTCAAGGCAAACTAACTATCCCCTATTGAGAAGAGGTATGTTTAAATTGGAGAATATTGAAAATGGGAAGGGGAGAGAGAGAGAGAGAGCAATAGCCCTAAAACCAAGTGTCCACATTATTGTTGCATCACCAACTTAATTATAAGACTTTTATCTTTAGACACCAAATGTGTAATCCACATTGCTATTTCCTCATCTGAAATGAGCATTTCTTGATATCACTATCTTAGAATAATGTTTCTCAACTCAAAGTCAACAATAATATA